TTATATATATATATATATATATATATATATATATATATATAAAATTAAAAATTATATAAAAAGTAATATAAATTATAATAATTGACAAACTTAAACATTTCAAAACAATATAAAAAGTTCGATTAAGTTTTGAAATTAATCTATAGGTATCAATATAAAATGGGACAGAAGAAGTAATATACATTATTTAATTTGAAAATCACCTAAAAAGTATTGTAAATCTCAATGATTAACAATATTTGATTGACTCTTGAAAAATCTTTATGTTATACATATATTAGGACAAAGGGGAATAACATATATTATTTAAAATTATGTAAAAGTACTATAAATCACGATAATTAACAATTTAAATATTTAAAAATCATATTAAAATTTAACTGACTCTCTAAATTCTATTTATATCACATAAATTAAGACAAAAAAAGAATAACAGATATTGAACCCACGCTAACAGGACACATGTGTCCAACTATATTCACAAAAATTGGAATGAAGTATATTATCAAAATACTATCTTGTTCTAAATCCAAAATTCATAAACTTAAAATCATAAATACTTTCTTTTTGTGTTTCATTATGTCAAAATCTAAATAATATCTGTTATTTTGTACTGATGTTTTGTAATTGACTTATAGAAAGTGAAGACTAGTTGTAAGAAGAACAACTGCAACCCTGTCTGGGATGATGAATTGACACTTGCACTCAAATATCCAAATGTTCAAATTGGTTTGGTGAGTACTCTCTCTTAATATTATTCTTCAATGAAACTAATTAAGCTTATTGTAGCTAAATATTTTTATGTTAAATATAGAGAAAATGTATTTTTCACTATATGTCTTTGGCGTAATGCATAAATATGATCCTCAACTTGGCTTCGAAGGATAATTATGTCTTCAAACTTTGAATCTACACAAGTAGATATTAAACTTTGTATAAAATTGAACAAGTAAGACGCCACGTAGGACACAAAATTTTCAGGGTGACATGTAGGACTAATGTGTGTATATTTGTTCAATTTTATGTGTCTACTTGTGCACATTCAAAGTTAAAGGCCGTAATTGTTAGCTGATGTATATGTATTACGTCAATAATGTATTTTTTATTGTAATGAAGGATAAAATTCAATTAGTCAACCAACAGAGCTACTAATATTTCTCGATATATATAATTATTTAATATGATGATTATGATATTTTCAGACTGTGTATGACAAAGATACATTTAGTAAAGATGACAAAATAGGTGAAGCAAAGATAGACATCAAACCATATCTCAAAGCATTGGAAATGAGTTATCATCAAGACCTTCCAAATGGTGTCAAAGTTGACAAAGTTCATCCAAATAGTGACAATTGCTTAGCTAAGGAGAGTTGCATCATATGGGAAAATGGCAAATTGATCCAAGACATGACACTTAAGTTGCAAAATGTGGAGTGTGGTGAAGTAAAATTGCAAATTGAGGTGATTCCTAAAATATTATCTGAGGATGCATTCTATATTGCATAAGCTATAATATTATTAGTAAATTTTATAATAATGTACAAGTGTTATGGGATGAGCCTTGTATTAGGTCATTCTAATTGATAAATGTGTAAAACACTAGTTTGGTATTTGCCACATGCTATATGTAATATAATGGCCATATTATTTTTACTATTTTTTGTTGTAATAAATTAAAATCATTGTGTTCGATTATCTAATCAACTAATAGTATTATGGTTGAAGAGAAAGTAATAATACTCAATAAAAGTGTATCAAATCTTTTTATTATAGACATTTTATTCTGACTCTATTTACGAAAGATCAAGCCTATGAAATAAACATTACGATTTAAAGAGCTTTACTTGAACACAAAAATCTTGAATTATGATAATGGATATTTAAGAACCACGTGAAATTTTAATAATTTCTTAAAAATTTCTCTGTATTTTTATTTTTCTTTTCTCCCTGGTTTAAAGTCCATTAGTATAAAATGGCTCGTACTATGTAAGCATATAATATATATAAAATATAATGCTATATATAATGTATATAACTGACATTGTATATAAAATATGGTTGAGAAATATTTGCTTATTACTTTCCAGAAACAAAGTAAAAAAACACAATTCCCAAAAACCAATCTCTCAAATTTTTTAGAAAAATATTATTTATTCGAGGGACGTGGCAAGTTGATAAGATTTTTTCGTTTTTAATCAGAAATGATAAATATTAAAATCTGAATAAGTAAATAAGGGAAGTCTTAATTGTAAGAAACATTTTCTTTTTTATTAATGGATTATACGCAATGTGAATTCAGATTAATTGAAATTCTAATGTAAATAATATATCTAATGTAATCTCATAAGTGGAGTCAAGATATATGATATATTCATAAATTTTACTCTTATCCTAACCGAAAATAAATATTATTTGTAATCAACTATCGCTCAACTAAAGTATATAAAAATCAACTATAGAAAAAAAATACAATAGCAATATTAAAAAATACAAGCTATTTTTCAATCTCAAACAAAATATTATATATTAGAAATTACATAGTCACTCATTTTGCCCTATTTTATTTTATTCTTGATACATATAGTTTACATTTCAAAGCACACTCATTAATAACACCACACATTATTAAAAGACTTGAGACACCACATCTTAGTTCCAAGCATTCACCCCCATATTGCTCATACTCTTTAGAAATATCGTCAATACATAGGATAATATTATAATTATCGATATATTTTTTAAAAGTTCGAGCAACATTTATGTATGAACATAGTGATATTTATGTATCAATTGAGATGATGAGTCTCAATATCTTTTGTGACATTGAGGCAGAATTCCATTAAAGTGTGTGGATCTGGCACATTACAATTCTTCTTTTCATATTCCAAGATCCAAGTGACTAAGTTATCTTCACCTTTTGTTTCAACATGAACAGTGAGATAAAATGAATTATAAGCCTCCAATATATCTCCTCCAATCACTTTAAATTTAACCAACTTCTTTTCTTCATCTATTTCTTCAATTACTTCCTTTGCCACCTTCTCTTTCCCATCTACAAACAAAGATATATAGTAAGAATTTAGTATTACTAATTCCCTTTATCAAATGAGAGTATTTGAATTGAATCTGAACGAGTTAAAATGGTTCAAATGAATAAACATATGAGAGTATTGATGGGATTAATGGATCGAACATGTCAATTTAAGTTAAATAACCTGTCACAATTTAGCTAGCATTTGACTATAGATTTCCAGATAGTCTTGGCAAATATTATTTAAGTAAAAATTTGGGTGAAATTTGACTATTTGTTTGGTTATAGTACTTGGGAAATATATTTTACTTTTTTGGAAAAAAAATATGATTAATATTCATGAGTTTTTAAAAACTATCAGAACTAACCACAAAGTTTGTATTACAAGTCAATTGGATCTTCGTTGCAACAAATAACAAATAGTGCCTATGACACTAGAGTAATGTGGTAGTTTGGAGTGAGTGCGACAAGCATCAATCCATACATCATGAAGTAGGCAAAACAGATTACTTTGTTACCTTGAGCGGATTGTTCATCATTTTCATCAACAACCATATCTTTGCTTTCATATTTATTAAAGAATATATCATCACTACTTTGGTGTTCACGTAAAAAAATTATGTAATACAACGCAAACAATTACTATAGAGGGTGTGTTTGTAAAAGATAAAAATTTGATGTAAAATTTCAATTTTCAAAGATCCCAAATAATGAGATCTGATTCAAATAGTAGAAAAAATTAGTATTTAAAAATTTAATTATTCGTTAAAAATTTATCAAATAATAACAAATTGTATGAATAAACGCTATTTGTCTGACAAAATCTCTTTTTATTTGTTTATTATTTTGTTATCATGTCTATATCTAACCAGCTGTGGCAATCAATTATGTCCAATCCAAAATCAGCACTTTTTATTTGTTTATTATTTAGTTACCTAATCAAACCAACCAAAGTTTTACTCTTCATTTAATTATCAGGTTTATATATATATATATATATATTTAACCAATCAAATCCAAAAAAATTATTTATTTTTATATATGTGATTATAAATTTTGACATGTCTAAGCTTTCATAAGATTAGATTATGACCTATTGTTTAATTAAGACAAAAGCATGTACTGAGTATTGGAACAATTAGCTTATAAAAATTTTACTTCCATATCTCCAATTATTGAATAGTATATTTTTAGAAACAATTTAACTTTCAATTTTTTTAGTTTATCATGATATATAAAACTTATCGCAAATCACAAACTCAAAAAGTTGTATGTTTCTTTCCTAAATTTTATATCCAGCTAAACGATTTCACATAAATTGAAACAAAAAAAAATAGTACGATAAACTTAAAATACATATCATAGATTTCGAACTCAAAACTTCATAAAACGGAGGAAACAGAAACATTTTCTCTTTGATGGACCATACACATCACAAATCTAGATCAACTGAGTGAGTAAGTAC